CAAAATCTACTTTATTGTGAATCTCAGTTAACACAATTGTGTGAGTCTGAAAGTACAACTCTCCCGCCATCTCCTTTACATCCTGAGAAACTAGGGAGGGTCCCTTCTGAGCCTTTTTCTCCCCCCATTATGCAGCTGAGGGCTCGGCTGTCTCTTACCTGACTCTCTTTTGAGCCCCATCTCTTTGCCCCACATACCGTACACATACAGAACTAAACCTGGTTAAAACAGGATTGCCCACAGGGCAGGAAACTATGGAGAAGACAGGTCCACCGGGAAAGGTTTGGGGGCCCAGAGATTTACAGCTTGTGGTCCTCACTTTGGCTAGATGAGAGCATGAAAGCCAGCTTGATGACTTCATTCGTTCGTTCATTCATTCATTCATTCATTCATTCATTCATCAATCAGACTTCTTAACCATCCCTCTTCTGTTAGATGTTACTTCTGGTACACGATACTCTTCTCTATTCTATTCCTCTCTTTTTCTTCTTCTCTCCTCTCCTCTCCTTTATTCTCTTCTCTACTCTATTCCTCTCTCCTCTCCTCTATTCTATTCTATTCTATTCTCCTCTTCTCTTTTCTTCTCTTTCCTCTTCTCTTCTTTCTTTCCTCTCCTCTCCTCTATGCTTCTCTCCTCTCCCATCCTTTCCTCCCTCCTTTTTCATACACAGGTCTCAAACTCCAGCACCTCTGCAGGATCTGGACACACCTGCCTCTTATGGGATCCCTGGCCAGACCTTTCCCGCTGTCCCTGATTTGTGCCCACTCCCAAGTTCGGTTCCACCGTGACAGTGTGGATGCCGTGTTTGCAGAACACTTGCTTCACCCTCCGAATTACCGGCTCAAAGGCGGCCACATCGAGACAGACCACGTGGGTTGTGGCCACCAAGTGGCTGCAGCCGTCCAGCTGCCAGACTCGGAGCTCCCGCACGGCGGCCACCCCTTCCGTGGCACGGAGGTGTCTTTCCAGGAGCCACAGATCCAGATCCTCTGGCGTGGCTTGGAGGAGGACCAGGGCGGAGGCCCTCAAGGTGGGCCAGATCAACCACAGGAAGGCCATGGCGACCACCATCGCCAGCCCGGGATCCAAGTAGAAGAGCCAACAATCCACAGAGAGCGGTTGCAGGATGTCAGATGTTCTCCAGGATAGGCACGGAGTTTTGGGGCAGGAAGCGAGACATGTGGCGTGTGCCAGGCATGGAGTCCACCAGAGGTGGATCGTGAGGGAATGCAGGAAAACCGCCATGGGTGCAAAACAAGCCACCATCCATCCAAGATAAAAAGTCCACCATGGTCCTGCGGCTGATGCGGTATTTCCCTCCTTCTCTTTGACCAACCAAGGTTGACTGTTGGTTGACAATCCGCGGCCCAGAAGATCTATTTGAGGAAAAGAATTAAGATTAAAGCCAGCCTGGGAGAATGTCATGCAGAGTGAAGATGATAAAATCCTGGATGTGGTGGGATTCAAATAATTCAACAACCAGTTCTCCGCCCTAATGATTTCTTCCAACAACCAGTTCCCCAAACTGCTCAGGAAGTTAACAACCAATTCTTGTGAACCGGTGCAAACCGGCTGAATCCCACCATTGGAATTTAGTCTCCAATCGCACATCCTGGGTTTTAGTCTTAGTCTCCAATTTAGTCTTAGTTTTAGTCTCCAATCGCACATCCTGGGTCTCAAAGTGGTTTTACTTCTTCTCTTGCAACCAAGATATCCGGCAGCCATGATCGCCCCCTCTGGCTGGTTAATGCTACAGGTCGTCCTCGACTTACGACCACAATTGAGTTGAGTGTTTCCTGTTGCTAAGCGAGACCAGTTGTCAAATGAGTTTTGTGTCCTGTTTTACGACCTTCCAACATACAGATAGTCCTCAACGTACAACCACGGTTGAGCCCCAAATTTACGTTGTCAAGTGAGAAATGTGTGAAGCAACATTTTACGACTTTTTCTTGCTGCGGTCCTTAAGCGAATCTGGACTCCCCCACTGATTTCACTTGTCAGGAGGTCACAAAATAGGATTAAGTGACCCTAGGACGCCGCGATCATCGTAAATAGGAGTCGGTTGCCAAGCAGTCTGGATTTTGAGCATACGTGATTGCTGGGACGCTGCTTACAACAACAGTTTGTTCAAAGTTACAATGGCACTGACAAAAGGGACTTATGACTGTTTTGCACACTTAACGACCATTGCCCCACGGGCAGATTTATCGAACAACCGTGTTTCTGCAGTGACTCCCTTAACAACAGTAGCCAGGACAGTCGTAAAACAGGGCAAAACTCACTTAGTTTAGTTTACTTTATTGTTATTGCCCCTCGATCAACGAAATCAAGCACCATCTTCAGTGTGCAATTTATGACTATAAAAATAAACACAAACACACATCCTTCACACTCCACACATTGAATTGAAAACCTCTGATATTGCATTAATATTGCACTATAATGTAGAATTCAAAAGAGCTACTGCCCTGGGATAGACGCTGTTTTTCAGCCTATTTGCCCTTGTTTTTATTATCCTGTACCGTCTGCCAGATGGTAATAGTTCAAAAAATGGGTGCCCAGGATGAGATGGATCTTTGAGAATGTTTTGAACTTTCTTAAGGCAGCGGGAGCTATGAAGCTCTTCCAAAGAGGGGAGAGGGCAACCCAGGATCCTCTGGGCAATGACATTCACCCTCTGGAGTGCTGTCCTATCCGCCCCTGAGCAATTGGCAAACCATACACAGGTGTGCAGTCAGTTAAAATGCTCTCTCTGGTGCAGCGGTAGAAGGTCACCAGCAGTTTTCCATTCTGTTGTTGTTTCCTGAGAAGCCTCAGGTAGTATAATCTCTGCTGGACCCTTTTGAGCAGGGCTGCAATGTGAGCCCCCCAGGTCAGGTCCTCCTTTATAGTAACACCCAGAAATTTAAAACGGGCCACTTGCTCCACTCGGCCTCCATGGATAAGCAAGGGCTGGATGTCTGATCTGTTCCTTCTATATAGCCCACTATCAGCTCCCTTGGTCTTATTGGTGTTGAGGACCAAGTTATTGTTATTAGCACCACAAATTTTGGGCTCAACTGGGCGTGTAAGTCTAGAATTAAATGCAGGTTTTTTTCCACTGAGAAAAAAAAAAGTTACTCCTTCCACTTGCCATCCCCTTGTCGTCGTCCCCGCCCCCCCACAATTTAAAATTAAACTTTTGGTCTTCGCAGGGCATCTGTTAAGAACATTACAGCTTAGCATTTTATTTTTTTTGAATGAAGACACCGGGCTGGGCTTTTTCATCTCTGGCACACCCTGTACAAACTTACCTTCCGTTTCCTGCTTCGCCGTTGGCACCAGCCTTCGTTTGCTACAGCAAGGCCCGGCGTCCATCTTAGCGGGCATTCTCCAGGGCCAACCTTCCTGGGCTAGGTGGATGGGGATGGCCAGCGCCCCGATGCCCATCAGCGCCAACGGATGCCGGGTGAGCTGCGGCTCTGTCAACCTCCGAAGAGCCTCGGCCACCAGTGCCATGCACAACGCCCCCAGCAACACGGCGCTGACCAGCCTGCCAGCCACGGGGGCGCGCGACCACCCAAAGGTGTTCTTCCAGCTGGTGTCAGTACCCTCCGAGCCGAGCCGGGCGTCCAGCACATGGACCGCCAAGGCCAGGGCACCTTCCAAGGTGTGGAAGGCGCAGGTGTGCAGAAGCAGCGAGGCCGTCACGCGGCTGGCCGCCATCTCCGCCAGGAAGAGAGTGACCAACAGGTACAGCTGACCCATCAAGAAGTCCGGGCTGCTGCCCACCAGCCACGAAGGCAGGAAGGCAAGCGGCATCAACGGCGTCTTTCTCAAGACAGGTGCCATCTGGAGCTGCCAGTCGATTTCTGTCTGCCTCCAGCAATGCCAGGGTCTCAGCCTTGATGCCCACCCATCGTGTTCCTCCTGGCTCTTGATTTGGCCCTTCCTGCCCCCTTCTTATCAACGCCTGTCGGCCTCTCTCTGCTGTGCTGTGGGTCTCCGCAGCTTCTCCTTCCCAGGGGGATTAAATCGGCAGCTGCTGGGGAGTTTGGCAGGAGCCGCCCCGAGTCATGGCACGCAGCCTTGGCCGGGCTTCCAAGAGGCCATTCTTTTTTTTGATTTCCCCCTCTTTTCCTTGGACCCGTGCCCGGGCATCCACCAGCTGCAGAAAGATACCCAGGCGAATAAGTATGCATGGGAGTCTTGCTAGGAAAGGAACAGGCAGACCCAACAGGATGGGGGAGTTGCTAGTTGATTACGGAATCCAGTTATCTGGTGTGTATGGTGTGTCTACACATTTCATGCAGCCCACAGTGGTACACAACACTAAGAACAGGAAAACAGAGTTGGAAGGGACCTTTGGAGGCCTTCTAGTCCAACCTCCTGTTCAGGCAGGAAACCCTACCCCCATTTCAGACAAATAGTTGTCCAATTTTTTCATTAAAACCTCCAGCGTTGGAGCATTCACAACTTCGGGTGGCAAATCATTCCACTGGTTAACTGTTCTCACTGTCAAGAAATTTCTTCTTAGTTCTAGGTTGCTTCTCTCCTTGATTAGTTTCCATCCGTTGCTTCTTGTCTTCTGGTGATAGCTCCTTAGATACTAAATATATGTAATAAAATGCATTATACAAACAAATACTTTTCAATAAACCATCTCTGTCTATATCTATCTCTCTATCCATCCATCCATCTATCTAATCTTTGATGTATCTATCTACCTATCTTTCTACCTATGATGTATCTATCTACCTATCTTTATGGTGTTTGGCTTGGTTCGGGTATTTTCCCACGTCATTGTAGTTCTTTTAAAGTTGTAGCAACGTTTCAGCAGAATCTCATCTGCCATCATCTTTCTTTCTATCTTTCTATCTACATCTATCTTGATGTATCTGTATCTATGTATTTATGTATGTATGTATCTCTCTCTTTCTCTCTATCTACATCTATCTCTACTGTCTCTCTCTATCATCTCTCTCTTTCATCTGTCTATCCATCCATCCATCTAATCTATCATGTATCATGTACCTATCTACCTACCTTTCTATCTTCCTCTATGTCTATGTATTTATGTATGTATGTATGTATGTATGTATGTATGTATGTATGTATCCATCCATCCATCCATCCATCCATCCATCCATCCATCCATCATGTACCTATCTACCTACCTTTCTATCTACATCTATGTATATCTATGTATCTATCTATCTATCTATCTATCTATCTATCTATCTATCTATCTATCTATCTATCATCTATCTATCTATCTATCTATCTATCTATCTATCTATCTATCTATCTATCTATCTACATCTATCTCTACTCTCTCACTCTCTCTCACACACACACATCTATCTATCTATCATCTATCTATCTATATCTATCTATCTAGTATGTTGGCAATACAATATATAAGATAAATCTATTGTGGTGATAATCAGGACAGACAGTAAACCACACAAAATTTAAAATAAGAGTTCAAATACATTTGCAAAACAAGCTGCAATCTCTTAATGAGATCCAAGGTACAACCGGTCAGAAATGATCGGGCCAACACGCTAAAACTCCATCAAACAGGAGAAACCTCTGAAAGTAGACGCATCTAAAGCAATTGAGATCCAGAAAGTCACGAGGACTAAAATGTCAATGCATTTTAGCTATGACAAGTATAGTGGGGGATAGTGGCCCATCAGGATTCATGGATCTTCTTTGGACCAGATTAGCCTGTGCCAAAGGGCAGCCTGGGTTTTTGTCTCTCTCTCTCTCTGTGTGTGCGTGTTTAGTATGTGTTTATGTGTGCCAGGCCAGAGAGGGGGACCTGGGCAAAGGGGGAGGGGAGTTTGAAGAGCTGAGAAAGGCTGGAGCAGCTGAAGTGGAAGGGATTTGCTGGCCCTGAATTCACCTTTTCACAATCAAAGACTCCGATTGTTTATTTGGATGAGTCAGACTTGTACCAGGGCTGAGAGAACAGCTGAACGACCTCCACTCAAGGACACGGAAAACTTTAACTCTTTGCTGGGATGACACCACAAGCCCGCCAGCCTAAGATGGAGTTAGTAAACTGCGCTTAAGCCAATCCGGGATTGTTATGCTAGGCAAACGTAGGCTAGGCTGCAAACAATGAGCTGACATTCAGCCAACCGTCGTTTGGGGTGTGTTGAAAGTACAATCCAGGGGAGCATTCCTCAACTTCTGCAACTTGAAGATGAATGGGTTTCAACTCCCATAATCCCCTTCCAGCATGCTTTAAGGTGGGTGGACTTCAAGTCCCAGACTGCCCCAGCCAGCAGGCTTTTTAAGAGATGTGGATCAACCTGTGGAACAGCCTGCCTCCAGAAGTCGTGGGTGCTCTGTCACCGAAGATTTTAAAGAAGAGACTATTAGACAGTCGCTCATCTGAAATGGTAGAGGTTCTCCTGCTGGAGCAGGGGGCTGGACTAGAAGACCTCCAAGGTCCCTTAGAGCTCTATTCTATTCTATTCTATTCTATTCTATTCCTTATTCTATTCTATTCCATTCCATTCCATTCCGTTTTATTCCTTATTCTATTCTATTCTGTTTTTATTGTTATTATTTCTATTCTATTCATTATTCTATTCTATTATTCATTCTTTCTATTCTATTATTATTCTATTCAGTTATTATTTCTATTCTATTTATTATTTCTATTCTATTCATTATTCTATTCTATTATTCATTCTTTCTATTCTGTTATTATTCTATTCAGTTATTATTATTTCTATTCT